CCGACTGCGTCGAAAGATATTTTGTGTTCAGTTATACATTGAGTAGGTTTTCGAGAATTCCCGGTTTCGGTCTCACGCCTTTGGTCATCTTCTCACAGCGGGTTTGGAGCAATCATAGTAGAAGAAGAAGGAGGAGGAGGTGTAGGTGTAGAAAGAAGAAGAAGAAGAAGAAGAAGAAGAAGAAGAAGAAGAAGAAGAAGAAGAAGAAGAAGAAGAAGAAGAAGAAGAAGAAGAAGAAGAAGAAGAAAGAGGAGGAGGAGGAGGAGGTGGTGGGGAGGAGGAGTAGGAGGAGGAGGAGGAGGAGGAGGAGGAGGAGGAGGAGGAGGAGGAGGAGGAGGAGGAGGAGGAGGAGGAGGAGGAGGGAAGGAGGGAGGGAGCTACCTTATGGGAGAGAGAGAGATAGAGAGAGAGAGATAGAGAGAGAGAGGGGGGGGGAGAGGGAGAGAGAGAGAGAAATGAAGAGATAGAGGAGGCCAGAAAGCACTGCAGAGGGAGGGTGGTGAGAGTGACAGGGAGGGTATCGTCGAAGCGATTTTCCCTTTCGTCAGCCCGCAGCCACTTCACGAATCGTCAGCCACATAGGCCTACCAACCTTTGACACGGGTCAAACTTCCATCTATTTATAGGTAGTTACCGGAACATGTATAGGTGAAGTGATGTGCCGTGATAGTCGCGATATATTATTTATTGAGATTGTTTTGGTCTCTCTTTACTCATCACCACGAGAATTTCTTGAAGTTTTTCCCTGGACTCTGCCTTTACTAAAATCTCGAATCTAGATCTAGATCTAGAGTTGTAATCTAGTGTCAGGTTGCAGATTTCTGTTATCCAGTACATTCAAGAGATTAAATAAATTGGACTAGACTCTAGACTTTAGTAGTAGGCTTGTAAGGATTCGTTTTGTTAAAAGTGTTGTTTAACACAAAGTCTAAGAAGTTTGCAAACTTAACACATTTTTTTCTAACGAAATGAAGCTTAAATTGACTTTTACATTGTCAACAAGAGATCAAGTTTAATCACCTAATCGTTTAAGTAAGTAAGTTTGAGTAACTCCTCACCACGGAACTCCCCCCCCCCCCCCTTACCGCCCTCCATCGGTTAACCGTATTGTCCCATCTACAACCCCATTCCCCATCATTTGACCCCATTTCCCACACCTCAGCCCCATTCCCCGCCCTGTACCCCATCCCTGATCTAAATCTCATCACCTATTCCCAGCCTTATTATCCCCACACCCAACCCTCACTCCTCCAGCCCTCAAAATATCTACCCCGTGGATGGTCGACGGACGCTCCAATGTGGTTAGCTCCTTGTTTCCTTCAAAACATCTATCGCCGTCATCTCACCCCGTTCTTTTCTCTCTCTCTTACTCTCTTGTAACACCTCTGATCTCTTGCACTTAATGTGATCTTTTTGTGTAGCAAGAGCCGTTGTAGTTTTCTTCTTTCCTATAAAATCCTATAAAACTTTCCTATAAAACATCAGTCTTCCATATCTCTCCTCCTTCTTTTCTCTAGTAACACCTCTTATTCTTTGGGACTAATCTGGACCATAATTTGTGTTGTAAGGAGTCGATAAACTATTACTCAACTAACACCCATCCCGGAACTCCCCCCCCCCCCCCCTTACCGCCCTCCATCGGTTAACCGTATTGTCCCATCTACAACCCCATTCCCCATCATTTGACCCCATTTCCCACACCTCAGCCCCATTCCCCGCCCTGGACCCCATCCCTGATCTAAATCTCATTACCTATTCCCAGCCTTATTATCCCCACACCCAACCCTCACTCCTCCAGCCCTCAAAATATCTACCCCGTGGATGGTCGACGGACGCTCCAATGTGGTTAGCTCCTTGTTTCCTTCAAAACATCTATCGCCGTCATCTCACCCCGTTCTTTTCTCTTGTAACACCTCTGATCTCTTGCTCTTAATGTGATCTTTTTGTGTAGCAAGAGCCGTTGTAGTTTTCTTCTTCTTTCCTATAAAACATCAGTCTTCCATATCTCTCCTCCTTCTTTTCTCTGTATCTTACTCTCTAGTAACACCTCTTATCTTTGGCACTAATCTGACCATAATTTTGTGTTGTAAGAGTCGATAAACTATTACTCAAACTAACACCCATCCCCCTCGCCCCCCCCCCCCCCCAAAACAACCCATTATTTCCACAGGGAGACAACGGGGGTCCTTTGGTCTGCAAGAGACCCCTGGGGGCCTGAAGGCGGGGGGAGGGTGTCTAGACACCACAGGGTCGCGGAGAGCTCTCCCCGCGTCGCGCGTGAAAGAGTGGGCGAAGGCGGGTGGTGACCCGGTCCGCGAGCGACACGACCGCAACCGGGTGAGAATAACCCAAGAA